GCAACCAATATGAGATGAAAAACCAACTTGGTTACTTTTATTTTTTTGATGTTGTTGTCATTCCATCCTCGTCCCTCTTGCAGAAAAATGTAATATATTTTGAAAGTGCATACATTACAAAGAATTCTGATGTTGTGAGGAATGAAAATAATGTTTTTGAAATGACCTTTTCCAGTACAATCATTATGATTGTAATTGGTATTTGTTTTAATGTTAAATCTCCTTGCAAATCCTTGTGCATATACTCATCAAACACATACATATTTGGTAACTATTATGGTTAATTTTATTTAATTTTTGAAGTTGGGTACTTGTATAATCTTTTTTATAAATAGATTGTAGAAAAAAAAAATTGTGTAATAATTGTACAAAAATTATAGGGGACTGATGTATTTTATTCATATGTATTCCTACTCTTACACATGGATTTCAATAAACGTGAAATTTCAATATTAAGTGAATTGTACCATGGACACGTCTTGTTAAAGGCTATGATCCTCAAGAGCATTCATAAGACCTTCTTAGTTGCTATATTGTTTGGAATTAAAAACAAAAATAAAAATCATTCTTGTGGACATCTTACCCGCTTTGTATTTAGTGTTTATTATTTTAATTCTTTGCAATTCTAAAAAATGTCTTTTCTTGAAAAACATTATATCACTTTTATCTGACTATATGTTAGTTTACTTTGATAAATTTGTAAAGATCCACATTCCTACCGTTTACTGTTGATATTTTGTTATTTATTCCAAAAATATATCTTTTGTATTTTTTTTACCCCCCCCCCCCCAAAAAAAATAAAGGGATTTTAAAGACAATAATTTTTTCTAATGAAAACAAGGTTTGGATGAAGGAAGTATGTTTTTTGTCCAAAAGATGAATCTTTTTATGATATTTCAAAACGAGTGTATAAACACAATCAAACAGTAGTGTTTTGCTACTTGTGATATTATTTATTAGAAGAAAGAAAACTTTAAAGAATAAATGAAATCATAGGGTTTTTAATTCATTATGAAAACAAAACAAAACAAAATAATCTGTTAAAAAAAATCTCCCAGGATAATTGTTTGGAATTAAATCCATTATGAATCCTGATATTTTCAAGAATGTTGCATCATAATTAATTTAAAATTATATATATATATATATATATATTCATTGGATTTAAAGATTGCAGAAATTGAAAGAAAAAAATGCTTTAAATGTATTTTTAAACATCAAATTCATAATTTTATCCACTTATGCATTTTGACTTCTCAAGACATCTAAACATCATGTTTACAGGGTTGCCTTCGTTAATTATCATATTGAAATATTCTTTTACAACAAATACCACCTTTGGAGCTGTTTAAATTAAGAGAATTGACGTGTGTGTACACTAGTGCTGAACATAGATGCATTTTGACATAGTATACTCTAATTTTAAGCAACCATTCAACTATTTTTTTTCACCCCCCTACAACAATTTATGTATTTTTACGTTGTCATAATTATGATAAAAATCTGGATGTCTTTTGCTTAGGTTATAATCTCGTAAATATTCTTTACGCTCTTCATTCATATAATGTGTTATTTTTAATACGTAGACACCCATCACGTTTATAGCTATATATGTGACTAATTTACACAAAATACTATGTTTAACACAGCCAATTTAACTTTCGTAAATGACATTGTTTCTAAAAGCAAGAACAAACAAATAAAGTAAAATGAAAAAAATTCATCGATCAAAATTGTTCCATCCCATATTTTGTTTTAAAGCTAATTCAAAATAAAGTAACCTTCATGGTAAGAACCATAGGAACAATGGCTCCACACCTGCAAGGTAAAAAGTAAAAACTATAGGATGAGATCATACATCCAAAATCTCATTCATTATCCCACATATCATCCATTCATCCTGATGCATGCACCTGGATGGGTCCTTGATACAGACCTGCAAACAATTTGGACAATTCTCCGTCGGATTGTGTAACTTTGCGAAGCTTCCGTCAATTTCGACATACGACAGCATGGAATCGGAAAGGATATTCCGCAAGCACATGAAGACTGATATCTTATTCTGTGCACATTGCCCGGGATCCATGAAAGACGTCGAATCTTGTACACTATGAGACTCCCACCTGACAGCCCCGGTGGTTTCTCGGGGCCAATTATAGGCCTCATCGTCGCACTTGCAAATGGGGATGCCTTACGGTGGTTACCCACATGGGAGAGGCAGGGGGTTGCAGCCCCTGATTGGCTCCTTTGCTCTCGCTGCGCCTTCTTATGCGTCCGTGTCCACGTCCTTTCTGAGTTTGTTGCAGGCTCTGCCATCCCGCCGAAAACAAGCAGATTTTTCTGTCGTCCTCGTCAGGCAGACTTTGGACAAATACAGCGCCGTGTATGCACTGGATGCCCAACCTGGAAGGTTTTTATTTTTTGTTCTCTCGACATGACTGTGCTCCTGGAGCTTTCCTGGCCGATCGACTGTTTTGCGACTGCCTTAATTCAGACCTTTCCCTCCCGTCTTGCCGATCTAAGAGTCCATGTTGGGTTGGCTCCACAGTGCAGTGGTCTCCGAACTACGCAAAGTTCGATTTTTATTTTTTTTTATTTTTTTTATTTTTTTTATTTCCAGAGTTGCTTGGTAATCCCAGGATAACAACGCATCCACTGTTGCACATTACTGGATTAGCAACATGCATTTAAAACAATATATTGAACTTGCTTCAGACTCAAGAGGTACATTTATTATCAAAGTTAATTCAATCGTGCATGGCGATTTGGCATTATATTACGAATGCCGGTGAAATTTTTGCAGTTTTCATTTTTAAGCAAGTCACCAAACGAGTCATCGCGGGTCTACAGTTTTAAAAACAGCATCATAGAACATAAGAGAAAGAAATATTCCAGTGAAGCAGTACGACCTAAATCTTTATAAGCTCATTTCTTTCAGTGGGGGGTTCCCACAGCATTGGAAGCGCAAGATATCCAAAAGATAACAGAGATCACGAAGGAAGGAGCCATTCTAGTAAAGGACGAAAGACAGATAAGACGCAAAGACAGGAAAATCGTAATAATCAGTAGTGTGAAGAGGGATAATTTTTTACCTATTTGGCTCAAATGAGGGAACGTAGCTGTGACAACAGGTCACGTGTTCAATTCCACATACCTCCCTATCCATCTACCTCAAGTGGGAGGGATGGGAGCCCCACAAGTGGACAGGAGCGTGTCATCCACCTTGGCTTGCTCCGTCTTTCTCTCTGAACTCTCTCTCCCTGTTCCGGTTGGAATTTGTCACGTTCTGGACTTATCCAGGTTGCATTTCCCACAACCCTTGAGTTTGTACTTCGCAGCATCCATTCTGTGCGTTGAGTCAAGGCTGGACATAACAACAGAATCTCAATTAACAGCCTCGTTCTTCATAGCAGCAGCCTAGAAAGCCAAGCCTTGCCCAACCCTAACTTTGTGGGTTGGTTGATGGCTTGGCAAACTCTTAGATTTAATCATTGAATGGCTTGGAGGAGGGGGGGTTCCTACTCTATGACTCCCAAAGATGGATCTTGGTGAGGAAAAATATATATAATAATAAACAAAATAAAAACTTATTTCTATGCCCCTGAATGGTTCATCATGTGATGAGTGGCTTTTCCATCTGCCCACCCACCTGTTGATAGAGACAAAAAGGTTCCTCAGCATTTGATAAGTGCAAGGACTTTAAGCTTTGAAAGATAGCTATGACAAACACCCCACTTGGAGTAAATTACATGTGAAATGTATGAGTATCACATGTGAATGAATACTTATTGGATGGAATTCTCACATGTATGTATTTATTTTTATTTTTATTTTATTTTTTCAAAATTTATGTCAAATAAATGTTTTCTAAGAAGCTTTATAATGCCACAGTTTACCGTGAATCATTAAACAGTTTTACTTGTTTGTGTTCCTACATGCAAGAAACGTTTTTTTTTTTTTTTTTTTTTTTTTCCTTCGAGTGTAAGTACTTTTAGATGAATAAAAATATGAATAAAAATATATACACTAGTACAGGAGTAAATAAATAAATATATATATATATATATATATATAGAATAATTTAATTTTTTGATGAATGTGATTATACACTAAAAAGAAAGAGAACTTTCAATAGTTATACACTATATTATAATTTTCAGAGATAATAAAAAATAATAATAATAACAATACGCATGCTGTTAAATAAAGCATAAACTATGAAAGGAATAAAAATAAACTGAATGCTACTTAAACTATGAAAGGAATAAAAGTAACTAACAACTGTTTGAATCTTTAATGACAAAAAAAGAGAAACCCTAGCAAAACTCTTTCAAAAGATTTAAACTAAATCTTAATCAGACACAATAATTTGTTTTGTCTGAAAAGAGTTTAAACTCCACTCAAAGTGACAGTGTGAATTACTGGAAAATTGCAATAAAGATGCCTACTCTGTTTATTTCAATAACTGCAATTATCTTGTGAATATATATATATATATATATATATACGTATAAATAAATAAATAAATAAATAATTGTATATTTTGAAAAAGATGTGAAATGTTTTAAAAAATAAATAAGTGATTTACAAGTAAATCAATGAAGCAAATGAACCACTATTTAAAAAACTAAGTTTATAATAATTCAACACGATTTTTTTAAAAAAGTGAAGGAAATCCTGGTCACACATATTCAAAACATTCATTCAAAACTAAACACAAAACCTCGTTGAGGCAAGAAGGAAGGAACGAACTAGAGCGTTCGTTCATTCTGTTGGTGGAGGGAGTCACCCGTCAGGTACCCAGGCCCGTCAGTTCTGGTATTGGGGCGGGGGGGGGGTCAGTCAGTAAGTAAGTTATTAAATTAGTAAGTAGTAGTCCCTCCCTCCCCTCCTTCGTTCCCACGGCCATAGACGAGTGGGGCTGGCTGTGGCCCTTAAAGTACTCGCTGCCTTATTATTATTCTTCAACTTGACTACTAATTTGTAACAACCCCCGCCCCCCCCTCCCCCTCCCCCTACGACTCTGGTGCTCATCGTGGATGAGCACGCCGCCCCCTAATTCCATCGCCACTTCCTTCGCGCCTACTCACACACTCACTCGCTCATTCACTCACTCCATCTCACCATACCCATATCCCATCGCATTACTTGTTGCCGCTGTGCCATTCTCATTTATATTTGATTTTGTGTTAAGCCTGATTGATTGGATCGAAGACCTCTTTATTGTTGCCTTAACGAGACTGATCACTATAAGAGTAAGCACACTCAAATCACTGTACTATAGATGTTTCATATTGTTGCGCTATGTGAGGGCGGAATAGAGAGTTGACGATGCCTTGTTGAGGACGGTGGTCGGCAGTTGGGATTTGATTGAACTTTGTGGTGGACATTCATCGCAGGGTGATGCGGTAGAGATAGACGAGGAGCAGGTGCCGTGGTCTTCTTTCCCTCTAGCGAAGCTCGGCTGAGCTTAGCTGTGAGCTGAGCTTCGGCCGCGGAAGAGATGTATGGCAGTGGATGGGTTGCCTTTGAGCATTAGTGGCAAGCCTGCCAACGCAATCTGCTGTCTTAATTGTTTTGGAGAGGCGCCTGCCAGTCGTGGGGCTGCCGCTCAAGCGCTTTCTACGAGTAGCATTTCTTTCGTCTCGAGACAACTTGGAAGTAGACAGAGCCTTAAAATTTGTTTACGATGGCGTCCGCCAAGTTGGCCTACTCGACGGGAAGTGGCATCAAGTCGAAGCACAGCGTACGCGTGCAGCAAACCACAGCAGATGCGAAGCTTCAAGCCGCCTACGAGGAATCAAACGACTCTGGGGATTCATTTGATTACTCGAAATCAGTCGGCCAGGCCGCCAAATCCACTGTGCAACAGGTTCCTGCTCAAGCAGTGACAGCCTACCTGCAGCGGATGCAGCGAGGGGGTCTTACACAGACTTTTGGGTGTATGCTGGCCGTGGAGGAGAACACATTTAGGGTCATTGCTTACAGCGAGAATGCTCTGGATATGCTTGACTTAATGCCACAAGCTGTACCGAGTGTGGGGCAACAGGATGTTCTCGGAATTGGAACCGACTCGAGATCATTGTTCACTCCTTCGAGTGCGGCTGCGTTAGAACGAGCTACACAACAATCAGATTTGAGCATGGTGAACCCTGTCTCTGTCCACTCTAGAAGCTCAGGGAAGCCATTTTACGCCATTTTACATCGCATTGACGTAGGGATAGTGATGGACTTTGAGCCTGTTCGACCAAATGATGTGGTAGTGTCCTCGGCTGGAACCATTCACTCTCACAAGCTTGCAGCAAAAGCCATTTCTCGCCTTCAGTCGCTGCCTGGGGGCGACATTGGTCTTTTGTGCGATACCGTAGTCGAAGAGGTTCGTGAGCTCACGGGTTATGACCGGGTAATGGCGTACAAATTTCATGAAGACGAGCATGGGGAAGTTCTGGCTGAGATTCGAAGATCAGACTTAGAACCTTACTTAGGGCTACATTATCCTGCAACAGATATTCCGCAAGCTTCTAGGTTCCTCTTCATGAAGAATAGGTTTCGGATGATCGTTGATTGCTATGCGCCCCCTGTGAAGGTTATTCAAGACAAGGACTTACGACAGCCGCTCACTCTTGCAGGATCCACTCTGCGAGCTCCTCATGGTTGCCATGCGCAGTACATGGGGAACATGGGATCTATTGCGTCTGTTACAATGGCTGTCGTTGTGAATGATCAGGAAGACGACGGTGGATCGCAGAAAGCGCGTAGATTGTGGGGATTGGTGGTGTGTCACCATACATCTGCCAGGATGATCTCCTTCCCTCTGCGTTCGGCGTGCGAGTTTCTGATGCAGGTGTTCGGCTTGCAACTAAACATGGAAGTGGAGCTCGCAGCTCAGTTGAGAGAGAAACATATCTTAAGGACACAGACGTTGCTTTGTGACATGCTCTTGCGGGATGCACCCATAGGTATTGTGTCACAGTCTCCCAACATTATGGATTTGGTTAAGTGTGACGGAGCGGCCCTTTATTATGGGAATCGGTTCTGGCTTCTAGGAATTACACCATCCGAGCAGCAGATTAAGGAGATAGCGGACTGGCTGTTAGAGTGTCATAAGGACTCAACTGGGTTGAGCACGGATAGCCTAGCAGATGCTGGCTATCCAGGTGCGAACCTGCTAGGTGATGCTGTATGTGGGATGGCAGCTGCAAGGATCACTCCCAAAGATTTCCTGTTTTGGTTCAGGTAATGCCCTAAACAATTACCGTATCGCCCGTCCCACATACTCCTCTTATTCTTGTTGACTGGAGCTTCATCTTGTTCTTAGTTGCATTTTATCTGCTTGCATTCTCTAGGTCTCACACTGCCAAGGAAATTAAGTGGGGAGGCGCAAAGCATGACGCGGATGATAGGGACGACGGAAGGAAGATGACTCCTCGGTCCTCTTTTAATGCCTTTCTAGAAGTGGTTAAGAGGCGAAGTGTCCCTTGGGAGGACATTGAAATGGATGCAATTCACTCTCTGCAGCTGATCTTGAGGGGGTCTTTTCAAGACATTGATGACAGCGATACTAAAACAATGATACATGCACGGCTGAACGATTTGAAGTTGCAGGGTATGGATGAGCTTAGCACAGTTGCCAATGAAATGGTTCGGCTGATTGAAACAGCGACAACACCCATTCTTGCGGTTGACTCTAGTGGGTTTATTAATGGGTGGAACGCGAAAGTAGCAGAATTGACTGGACTTTCTGTTGGTGACGCTATGGGCCGATCCTTGGTTAAGGATCTGATTTTGGAGGAGTCAGTGGAGGATGTGCAGAGGCTGCTGTATCTTGCCTTACAGGGTATATGATCCTGCCGCTAAGTCTTGTATTTATATATTTTTGAAAATTCTTATTCGTATTTTTGGAATGGGGGTAGACAGACTTGGGCATCTTTCCGATGATAGCTGAATGTGGGCTCTGTACTTTTATTGCTGTTAGCAAGTAGTTTTGAACTTAGCGTAGCAGAATTAGACTTACGCATTTCCAAGGTTTCAATAGACATTCTAAGAACCTGCAAGACTGTTGCTATGGAGTTTAATAGCTGTACTGAAAGTTTACTAGCGCTCTAATGTTAATCTAGAACAAGAATAGCTTGAGTTCGTCTTTGATCATCTTACCTTGGAAGTGGTTGTAACTGGGGACCAATGACTGCTTCTTTCAGGAGAAGAAGAGCAAAACGTTGAGATCCGATTGAGAACATTTGGGCCGCAGAAGGCGAAAGGTGCAGTGATTTTGATAGTAAATGCCTGTTCAAGCAGGGATGTACAGGAGAACGTGGTCGGAGTGTGTTTCGTAGGGCAGGACGTGACAGGGCAAAAGATGTTACATGACAAATTCACACGTATTCATGGTGACTACAAAAGTATCGTCCAGAATCCAAATCCATTGATTCCACCTATTTTTGGAAGTGATGACTTAGGTTATTGTACCGAGTGGAGTCCTTCAATGGAGAAGCTAACAGGATGGAAGAGAGATGAGGTAATGGAAACCCACGTTACGCTACTCGTGGCTGGCTATCTGGTTTGTACTTTGATGTGTACAAGATTAAGTCCTCAACCCTGCGCAAGTGTGTCGAACCTTCTAATTTCGGTTGCCACATTTTGGAATGCAGGTACTTGGAAAAATGCTGGTTGGGGAAGTATTTGGTATGCATCTAATGTGTTGCCGCCTTAAGGGCCAGGACGCAGTGACTAAATTCATGATAGTTCTTAATAACGCTATGGATGGTCAAGATACAGACAAATATCCATTCTCCTTTTTCGATCGTCAGGGGAAGTTTGTGGAAGCTCTGCTTACGGCTAACAAGAGAACGGATGCAGATGGATACATCACAGGTGTTTTTTGCTTTCTGCACATTGCAAGCCCAGAATTGTTACAGGTTAGAACTTCAGCCTGCATTTAATTTTCATATTTATCACTTATGTATAGGTTTATTCACTGCAATTTTCATCCGAGAACTTATGGCCCTGTCCTGAAATTGGTGGAAGTGGTCTTTTTGGGATGCAGGCACTAACTGTTCAACGAGCTACAGAGAAGGTGGCTTTTGCCAAACTCAAGGAACTTGCTTATATCCGGCAAGAAATCAAGAATCCTCTGTATGGAATCATGTTCACTCGAAATTTGATGGAGGATACAGATTTGTCGGATGACCAAAAGCAATTTATGGACACTAGTGCAGTATGTGAGCGACAATTGCGTAAAATATTAGATGACATGGATCTCGAGAGCATTGAAGATGGGTAAGCTTGAATTCTGTGCCTCCACCATGTTAACTGATATGGTTATCTTTTCTTTGGTTCAGCAGAGATCATTGTTGTTTATTTTGGTATTCTGTATTGTTGCGTAGCTGCCGGACACGACGTGAGTCTTATGTTTGAAAGGCTTCCTTGACGAGGATATCTGCATGCTTGCCATTTCAATTGAATGATCACTTAATTCTAAAGCTTGACTGTTTTTGTTAATTTTAGGTATTTGGAGTTGGAAACAGCAGAATTTGAGATGGGGTCCATGATGGACGCTGTTGTGAGTCAGGGAATGGTTACGTCAAGAGAGAAAGGCCTTCAGTTAATTCGTGAAACGCCTCGGGAAATCAAGGATATGTGCTTATTCGGAGATCAAGTTCGATTACAACAAGTTCTTGCAGACTTTTTGCTAAATGCAGTGCGTTTTACTCCCTCTTCCGAGGGTTGGGTCGGCATCAAGGTGGTCGCAACGAAAAGGCGCCTTGGTGGTGGCTTTCACGTCGTGCACTTAGAATTCAGGTTAGTATGTCTATTGGTATTTCTATCGTTTTTAAGTGATGATCGTTAATTACTTCCATTCCCGGTTTAAACTTGTCGGTGCCTGATTTCTCTCTGCACACATTTCATTCTAAACCTAAGTTTTGGGTTACGTTTCGTCTTCAATGTGTTATGTTCTGAGCGAGTTGTTTCCGTTTGGTTTGCAGAGTAACACATCCTGGTTCAGGGCTTCCAGAGGAGCTCATCCATGAGATGTTTGACCGGGGTCGTGGTATGACTCAAGAAGGGCTTGGGCTGAATATGTGCCGCAAACTTGTGAAACTGATGAATGGTAATGTACAATACAAGAGAGAGACAGGAAAAAGTTACTTTTTGGTCACACTGGAGCTTCCGTTGGCTGTACGAGATGATACCGGTACCATGCGGTAAATGGCCTCTAGAATGCCAATGAACCTTGTTTGTATACAGGTTGATAACTTACTTCTCCCCACACCGGTTCATGTATATCTGGAAGACAAAAGTCTCGGATCAGCAGAGCAGCTTTATTCTTCTCTTGTGGAAATTGAGGTCGTGAAACTGCTCACTTTGTATTGATCTCGAGCAACACCACAAGTCTCTTCTCTTCATTTTTTGAGATGGTTTACAGAGAAGGAGACTAATCACTGGAAAGATAGTGATGAATGGCGGAGGCTTATACTCGCGGACTAAGCCGGGTTCATACTCCTTTGGAACCTTGCTCCGGACCACCTGCCACATGGTTGTTTTTCTTTTTTTTTTTCTCTCATTTTCTCACGGGTGACGAACAGTATTTGGGCAAAACATGTCCAAAGCAGCGTGTTAATTTTCTTGATGACTAATGCAATTTTGATTTTTAGCCTAGAAACAGAACTGTCTTGTGTATGTTTCATATAAGCTGTAGATGAACAGCTTTGTATGCGTCATGAAGGCCCTATGCATTCGTATATATCTCTGACGAGTGGTACTCGATTGGCGATTCATGAATGCTCTCTGTTCTACGACCAATTTAGATCCAGACACGACGAACAATTATTGATCTGCTGCTGATATTTCCGTTTCAAAATCTTTCCTGAGCAGTTTTCAGGTTTTCTTTAGTGGTTTCATTCAGGTGGATGTCTTACCTCTATGCCTACCTTCGAGTACTAGTATTATTCCGTGCATGGTTTTCCTCTAGTAAATGAGACATGCCTGCTAGAATGCTTCCACAACCCAGTTCTGAAGCTCTTACGCCACTAATTGAAACCTTGTCCTCGGAGCTAGTAAGATTGGACCCAGGAGGTAATGCACTCATGTTTTACCAATCGTTGACCATAGTTGAAACAACATGATTCTTTCCTTTTTTAATTTTTTTTTCGTATGTTAAACGTACACTCGAATTGAAAACCCTTCCGCCACCAGCTGCTAATATTAACATTTGATAGAAGCTCTTGTTGGCCTGCAACCTCGTCGCTTTATGACGAGTAGCGTCTCCAAGCAGAGTGTGTAACAAGGCAATTTTCGAGTCGATTTGATTACTCTTAGACTCAAAATTAGATTAAGGTGAAGTCTTTGGGTGCTTTTCCAGGTGGGGTTGGCGATGTGTTGCGGCACTGATGCTGTACAGCTCAAGCTTATCCTCACAGACCGAAACAAGCACTGGTTACGCACTCCTAAGCACTAGCTAGTGAGTGCCATTCAATGCTCTGTTCAGGAGTCCTTTCTCCACGTCTGTCTGTCTGTCTGGCTGCCTGCCTGTCTGCCTATAGAAGTGGAATAGTCAAAATAATCATAAGTGAAGAATGCCTTCAGAGACCGCTGATCCCTCGTAGCTTGTGCCAGCACTACATTGCTCTTTATTACAAACTGCTGCCCTCAATTCTCATTAGTCCTTATCGCACTATTTTCTATAAATATTTTTCAATCTACACTAAATTTGGCAATTATTTGAAACTATTAGTGCATGGATTGTAATCTAGCTTTTAATATGTAAAATCATTTTTTGATTTTATATACTTTTTTACAACAAATATGTAAATAAAAAAATAGAAAAGACATTATAAAATCATGTATAATTTTTCAGACCAAGACTTTTCTAGAATGAATTGAAAGCACAACACTGTCATAATCAAACAATTAATTATCATGTAGGTTATGTATTATTCCACATTTGGTGACATTATATTGCATCTCAAGTTGCATTTCTTTTTGCCTGGTAAATATAGCATGAATCATTCTTTTATTATCTTAACAAAGAAAAAACAATGTTTACTCTTGTTTAAATATTTTGTAATTTTCTATTTAATATTTTATTAAATGACCTAAATATATTCTATAATTTCTATTTACATTTATTCTTTTATTTGAGCATTTTTCTAATGTTAACCATTAAATATTTTGTCATGGCATTGTATTTACATAGACCACATATTGTTTCTAAATTCAAACAAATTCTACTAAATCAAAAGGTGATTTTATTTTATTATTATTATTTTTTTGTAAACACTTAATTTTAATATAAAGATCTTTTATGGCATGTTCTTGTTTTGATGTGTCTTCCACTTATTAATTAATAAACAAGTCTAATGCCATACCATAGAGTACTAATTCTTGCATTGGAAGCATACATATGCAACAATAATTGTTAATATTAGATACTTTAAAATTCATATTTTAGAAATAAGTTCCTATGCAAAGTTGCAATCTTTTTATTTTATTCCAAAGTGTGACTTAAAAAAATAGCTCATTAGATCAATACTTGCTTATTTATATTTTGCTTATAAATAACTTTTTTTAGTACTTTTTTAATCATAATATTATTTTTGTTAAGAAGAATAATAACTGAAGTTGACAAACATATATTGAAATGTATTAATATTGGGATTTATATACATATATAACTATTCTTTTTGTCAAAAGAGAAGCAACTTTCTAATAGGATTATAACACAATAAAAGTGGTATGACAATACAAAAATATTTTGAAGCTATTTTGATATTCATTAGAAGTTTGAATTCCTTTCAAGCATCCTCTCACTTACAATGTTGAGTTTCTTGTTTGTTAAATAAATTTCCAATTTATAAAAATTCTATAAAATATCAACAAAGAACTTATTTAATAATAAAATGTAATCATGTAAGCAAGTATTATTTATTTTATTTTAGGTAGCTAATTGGTGCTTTCTAAGTTTTGAAAATAAAAAATATCTTATTTAATGTCTTTTTAATTTAATATTGTAACTTGGATCTTTGTCTAAGGTTCTTCTGACAAGATTTTTGTTCAATGTGATGGTTGTGAACTTGCATTTGCCCTCTTTATTGATTTTTAGTCTCAATTCTAATTATACATGGTTTAATTTTTGTTTTTTGTTTTTTTAATAATCTCTACTTTGTATTTATATTTATAGGTATATTAAGTAATATTTACTATTATATATTTTTTCTTTAATTTTTGTAACTTAATTGAATATAATAATAAGTAAATTTTACCACTTACAACCTAATATTAAATAATTACCTTAAATCTTTTAGACCAAAACTTTTATTATTGTCTTCTAAGATTGGTCTTACAATTTTTGTAACTTAATTAAAAAAAAAATATTTTTTATTAATATTTAAAATCATTTCAACTTCAACATTTATTCTAAAAACTTAAGTAGATTTTTTTACTTAATGAATAAAAAACATTGTTATTTTATATAATTAATGGCCTAACATAAGTATTTTTTTTTTAAAGTTCTTTTTTGCTTAAATTGGGTAGAAAGAAGTTTTTCTTTTTATAAAACTTCAAACACAATTAATTGGTAAAACTTGATTATATATATATATATATATATTCATCAATACTTCTATTAAAGTTTTATTTTTTTGGTGTAGATATATATATATATATATATATATATATATTCAAGGGTGGTTTGAAGTCTACACCTCTATTTTGGCACTTGTTAAGTCTAATATTGATAGATTATAGTCTACTTCAATCATGAACTTATGTAAAAATTTTCAAACTTATATCTTTTAAATTCTACTTAAGATCCTAATCTATTTCTAACCTTCTACACTTAAAACATACTCATTAATTTTTTCTATAGTTAAAATTATTATCAAGATACTAATTTACTTTGTACATTATATGAAAAATATAATTAATTTTAAAATATTAGAATTTTTATTTAATTAAAAAAATCAAGTCTTTCTTCATTTTTAAATAGAAAAAAATCAAAATTTAAGTTTACATTTAAAAAAAATATACACATATTCACAAACACACACACACATACATACATACATACATACATATATATATATATATTATATTATACATACATACATACATGTACATATATATTATATATATATATATTATATATATATATATAATACTTTTAAAATTTAGCTTCTTCAATTTTACTACTTTAGATACTTAATCTCTATTAATATCTATATTATTTTGAATCTAATTATTTCAATATTAGACTTTCTAAAATATTAAATTTAGATGACTTATTAAATTAAAAATAGACTAAAATCTTGATTTTTCTATTCAAATTAATATTTATTAATTTTATATAGTTATATTATATTATATTATATTATTTATTTTGAAGATAATAAATTTTAAAATATTAAAATTTATTCTTAAAAAAAATATTTTAATCATAGTGTTTATTAGTGATTATTCATAACTATACATTTTAATTTTCAAATTTGTCTACTTAAGTAAAATAATCTATTTAATATCTATAAGCATGTACATTTTAGTTTCATAGAAATATTAATGATATTTTATTATACTTAAAAAATTAATTTAAAAATATTATCTTGATTCTACTTGTATGAAGTTTTTTATGTATATTTTTTGACTTGTTATTTTAATCTAAATATATATATATATATATATATACATATATATATATATATACAGATATATATTATAATATTTTTGATAATCTTCTAACAAATGGATGACAAATGGCAATTATAGTGATAATTTCAACATACAATCTTAAAATGTATTAATATAGAATAGTGTTGTAATATAAGAATTACCTTATGGTTTAAAATGATCACAAATTAAAAAGAAAGAGGTATAAAAACAAAGAAGGAAAACTTATATGTATTATGGAGTCTAAGTATAGACCATTATAATCTAAACAACCAATTGCTAAGGTTTTAGTAATGAATAAATAGAAGTGAATGTGTTTTGTTACTAAGAAAAGAATATCAACACCTCTTTCAAGGACTAATTGGAATAAAATCCTTACATAGAGTCTTAGGATTTTATTATATTATTTTTACTTGGCAAATTTGAGGGTGCTACTTGAAAGTAATGGTTTTCACCATTTTTGTAGTGAGTTTGATATTTATTAACTCAATTGTGCTTTGTGATTCACATTCTTATTTATTTTGTTGCTTAAAATTTGTTGCCTACATCATGTCTATTTGCTGCCTTTGATGTTTTGTTGTTTTTTTTTGTCTCTTCTTATTTCTTTAAGTTGAATTACCATATTCTAAGGTTTTGTAGGTTGATGTGGTATGTCTTTATCTATGGTTGGCAGCCTTAGTTTTGAAGGAGTTGTCTGTAATTTTAGTCAACAATCTTAAAAATCTACTTGCTTGATATAATATGGATGTGCATAAAAAAATTTAAGAAGATAAGGATTATTGCAAAAATTCTTATTATATTTACCAATTTTTTTATTATTTATTTGAAGATTGCTTAACTTGTATTTAAATATTATTGGTTAATAAAGAAAGGAGCTAATTTGGTGGAAGTAGTTGATGGATAGAAATAAGCCAATAGAAAGGGTGGTAAATTCTATGCCTAAATATTTTTTAATAAGGCCAAGATCATTCATATCAAATTTAAAATTCAATTGGTAATTTAATCATAAGATTTTTTTGTTATCTCCTCTTGTTAAAAAGAGTATGTCAATATTTGTTACAAGTATGGTCTTATCATTGTCTTTACAAGTTATGATTGCTTAAAATTTTAATCATACTTAAGATTTTCAAATAAGTATCTAGTCTCTTATACCACATCCAAGAGCTTTTATATAAGCCATATAAAGATTTTTAGAGCTTGTATATTAGATATTTAGTTTTTTTTGAATGAA